GGAAGCACCTAAGAATCTCGACGATATGCATATCATCGATAGACGGGGTAAAAAAAGAAGTCGACTAGCTACTGAAGCAATCGAGTAGGTAATGGTATGGTTCTTACTTTATGTGGATCATTATTTGGTTGCGGATGATTATTATGAGTAGTTCAACACGAATGGGAAAATCGTTCCTACTTTTCGAGGAAACACGAGGTGGGAGCATTCATCGGTACTGAAAAAGACGTTCACTGTCACGACATCATCGTCCCCTGACACGTGGATATAGAGCATGCGCTTCCAACTCGTCCTTGGCTACAATACTGGAACCATCACAATAGTCACCATCTACACCGGTGTATATTTTACAACCGTTTCAGATGGCACCGCAGCCATATCAGATGGCACCACATCCATTTCAGATGCCACCACAGCCGAGTCAAACGCCATCACTTCCATATCAGATACCACCGTAGCCGAGTCATATGACACCGTAGTTGGTTTAGATGCCACCATCACAGTGCTTTATGACCCCTCCTTGTGGATATTATACTTTCATGCTTATAGATCCAGTGTGGGGTTCATATGATGCTTATTTGGTGGGTGAAGGTGCACCACATACACAAACACCTCCGAAGCAGTATTCACACTCATCGATGTTGGTGTTTTTGCAGTTTTCACAGTTTTCTATGAGCGGTGGGATAGTCAGCCATACACCTCCAGGGTCCTTATTCTATAGAGGTGCTACATCGTCATCCGTCCCTCATCAACAAAATGTAGCTGCTCCTGATGATGACGACGATGATTATGATAATGAGAGTGAGGAGGAAGAACAAGTTATACGAAGAAATCCTCATTGACACAGACAACCACCGCCTGCGGAACACATTCAAGACGCAGATATCGATAGAGTTGTTTAGTTTATAATGTTTTTATTTAATTTTGTTTATTTACCAGGAATTGTAAAGTTTTTATTTAATTATGAACTTTTTATATATTTTTTTGTTAATGTTTTTATTATTTAATTGTTTGAATTGTATCGTCTGCATTTAATGTTTCTATTTACTTGTTTTTATTGCTTGAATCGTATCATTTTCTTGTATTTAGTTTGTAATGTTTTTATTTAATTTTCACTTGAGTAACCCATTAATCGGTGATGTTCAAATGACATTAATTGAAAGTAAATTTTAATTAAATAACACAAACTTAGATTTCATAAACGACTATTACATCATCACATTATCAACAATTACTTGATGAAAAAATAGATGAACATTTTTTCCTATTGTGTCCTAGGTTTCTACGATGCCCACATCTTTTGTTTTCTCTGGACATCTCTAGAATATCCATATCACAATGAATTCGAGTGGATTTTGGATGACCGGGCTTCCTTAATAAGGACGATCTTGTATAATTAGAAGCCAATTCTGAACCTCATCAGGGTCTTTTTCATTACCTATGGGGAAAATTAAATTCATATACTTTAAATACTTCTAAAAGTCGGTATACAGGATCCACAAAACAGTTATAGTCTTGACGGGTATGAGAGCAAGCTACTATGATATGAGAACATGGATACTTCAGAGCTTTAAAAAACCCATAGTGACACCACATGTCTCGTAGATTAATTCTAAATGAGTTAGCTTGAATTCCTTAAAGAGGCCACGTCATCTCTGTGACATGAAGTAATTCATGGGTTCTAGAGAAGATTGTTACAAACATTCCATTTGATTTAACAATTCTTTTTTGTAGATCTGCAACTAATCTTGGGTGATATACATGACCGTTTTGCATCCAAGTTTGTGCTTGTCCCCCGAGCTTTTCAAAAAGTGCTCCCAAATGAAAATAAGTCATTTTAACCAAAGCCTTTATTGGTAAGTAGTGTTCCCCCTTTAAGGTCAAATTGATAGCCTCATCAAAGTTGGTCGTCATGTGTCCATATCGATATCCACCATCATATGCATTTTTCTACATTTCTTTGTTGATGAGGCTGATATAATTATATCCTTTCTCGTTCTTTCCTCGCAAATCTTAAAGCATGAACTCAAATATTTCAGGTAATAGTTTGTAACCTGAGCGTCAAATGTAAAACTTACTGTTAAGTTTCCATAAAAAATGAAAATGTTTGACAAATAAAATTAGACATTTTGACATACCCATGCGCACAAGTAATTGGCGCTCATAATTATTCTTGAACTTTATATGATAGTTAGTAACAATGTGTCGGATACAATACCGATGTTGGACTTAGGTGGTTACCACATTAGAGCCAAGAATCCATTGATGCTTTGATCTCAGCTCTGAGATCTGAAATGACACATATTTTTTCCCTCGTTACAATATGTAAGCATAAATTCCTGAGGAAAAAAGCCCAATAATATGTATCTTCTCCTTCATCAAGGGCAAAAGCAACTAGAAGAATGTTGCGATTGATTACCATCTTGGAAAACTGCCAATTATAAAACTTGCTTGCATTTTTCGTACAAGAATGTCCCATCGATTTGGACCATGGGCTTGCAGTATTTCACAGCATTAATGCATTGTGGGTAAGTCCAAAAAAATCCGGCAGAATTAGCATCGATCGCGAAGTACTCGATCATTGTGGTATGCATGACAAGTTTTTAAGTCGAAAATTGTCCCAGGATTCAATCTGCACATTGCAATAAACCAACTTGGTAGCTCGTTGTAAGATGCATCCCACTCATCATGAAGTTTTTAAATGGCATTATGCTTTACCTTCTATGCTTTCCTGTATGAGATGGTGTACCCATATTGCGACTGTATAGCTGAAATCAACACCACAATAGCTATATGGGAGCTTGCTTTGACTATGGGCATGATGGCTTGGTAGATAATGTCAGAGTCCAAGTTGGGATGATCCTGGTTTATCTTTTCAGCACAACATGTGTGAGGACTGTTGTTTACTGTTAGTTCCCATATATTGTTTTTCCTATTCCTCTTAGATACATGAACCATCCAGTTGCATCTATTATCATGTTAGACACAGTGACAAACATACTTTTCAATGGTGGAACGGTCGATTTTGGACTGAACATAATTACGAATGTTGTAATTCTTAATTTCCATCATCGCTTCTTTTTTGGATGAAAACTCCATTCCTTTATATAACTCACCATCATTGACTGATGAGTTAAATCAGTAGTCACCAATATTAGACATATCCGTAAAATATGACACGTATATCGTATCATAGTCAACTTCATACATGTGTGCTGGAGGTTCGGTGTGTACCGTATATGTGGGAACTTCATCTACATCATCATCATCAGAGTCCATGTTGAACTGCAGTGATTATGGCTAAACGAATAGTCTAGTCTCAGCACTATCCGTACGTGGCTCACGAAGAGGTTCTTCTAGTGGACTTGAGATTCCTCAACAATGCCGACATTTAGGTCGAACAAGCTAGTAGTTGAATGTCTTCACATTGAACTTGAAGACATCTCGATATTGAGGTCGAAGAAGCTTGTAGTTGAATGCCACCCCTGGAATTTAAAGGCATCGTGTCAAATGGGTACAACATATATTGTTGCGTCGAGGGCATTTCCATATTCAGGTCAAAGAAATTGGTAGATGAATGCCTTTCCCTTGAATTGGAAGCGATGTTGCCATATAGGTTGTTTGTGGAGCCATCTCGGTACAGATCGTAACACGTTGCTAATGAATGTCTCCCATTGAACTTGATGGGATGTCACCATGATGTGAATTTCCCATTAACGAGTTAAAATCATTACACATTACTTGAGTTGGGTTGTCAACTTGATCGACTTGTTGAGTCAGGCCATAGTGGGAGCATAATGACCTACCACGAACAACATACACTTTAACAAATGTCGCATACATCTGTGTATCGGTGTCTGAATATTGATTTTGAGAATAAACCATCATAACAACATTGTCATCATTGGAGAGTTCGAACGTTGTATAAGTTAACAAAAATACTATGTTTGGAAATCTGTACTGAAGTGAGGACAATCTTCTAATACTTCCAACATGAACCTTCCTTGAAATTTTAGTGATCAACTCCACAAGAGTGATGCTTCTCTTGAAGGATATTCTGACGGAATGATTTGATGCAAAGACGATGACGATTTCATCTTCCCGAATTTCTCCATCATAGTAAACAATAGTTGAAATACACATTAATTTAAGAGTTTGAAAGATTGAGAGTCTTATATATGCAAAAATAATAGCTGAAATACACCTAGTTAAATAAATAGTATATGAATTAAAATATAAACTAATCCATTTTTTTTAAAAAAATTCATAATAATTTAAATAATACAATTTCATATTGTTATCGTATCGACAAAATGTCTCGAGGTATGATCCAGCTTTCTAATTTTACAACTGTAAAAAAATAATATAAAATAATTAGTACAATAAAATTTATTCAAATAATTAAATATAAAATGAATATAATATAATAAAAAATAATTATACCTTATAAAAACAATAACAAAATCTATTTAGCTTGATAGAAGTGATAATAAGTAAGTAATTTTAGTGTGATAATGTTGGCATTCAAAGAGGTTTTTATTTATAGGGAGGAGAAGCGTTTAAAAGCCAAGTCTTCATGCTCGGGTAATAATGGAGTATCAATAATTAAACGTGCATAATGGTAGGCGCAGATTATGATTCGCTCCTTCTGTATATGTCAGAATCCCGTGAAGGTACGGATGACGATCCATTTGTTTTGAAAATAAAGATTTTTTTTTTTAAATTAAATGGCTGTCATGTTTTTCCATATGTATGGGGTAAGGAGATGTAAGATAGTAGGCTATCCCAACACCAGGTTGAGAGCAGCTTCCGTAAGAGACCTCTAAATTATGAAATACCCTCCGTGAGACTCGATCCCATGATCTCAAAATTAAAAACCTTGTACTATACTAACTGAGCTGGATGGTCATTTTTATTTTTTTTAAGTTTCTTTTTTCACTGTACTTTTGAAAGAAAGAAACCATTCATTTTTCCCCCAAGTTTTATTTTTCTTTGAGATCGACCATTATCATCATTGGATGCAACAGAGATTTCGAAAAGGGAGTGAAAGCGACAGATCTTTTTAAAATTCTGGGTTTTTGTTTTTCTGATAGTAAGTTGAGATGGGATCATCTTCAGGGCAAAGTAGTGGAAGCTGTGATCTTTCGTTCAAGATATTGTTGATCGGAGACTCTGGTGTCGGCAAGAGTAGCTTGCTTGTCAGGTTCTTTTCAACTTCTGCTGAAGATCTAGCTCCCACCATTGGTTCAATTTCCTCTTTCTTTTGCTTTTCCAATCCTGTATCTTTGATTAGTTTGTAATGGCGAAAATATGATTCGGGTTTTGTTCAAATCTATGCTTTAGGTGTGGATTTTAAGATCAAGTTGTTAACAGTTGGTGGGAAGAGATTAAAGCTTACTATTTGGGATACTGGTATGACTTTATACTAAATTTGTTTTATTCTTTCATTTTAAGTCTCGACTTTGAATTCTTTGTCATAATATGTCGGTCTAATTGAAGTCAATTGTCTATCTTAGAATTCACTTGTTTATTTTGCACTGAAGATAGCTCATTTTTACTTAATATTCATTAATACATTTGTGGTGAAAAGAGTTATACAATTGATGATATACATGAATCAGATGAAACGAGTTTCCGGGCTTTAACTTTCTTGTTAGTTTCTTTCTTGACCTGGTTAGCTTGATGTTGCTTCTTTAACCTTTTATTAGCTGTACTATCCTTCTCATCTTTTATAAAAGTACATTAGAATAATTGTCTTGAAACGTGGAGGAAAATGATTGATTTGTGAAACCGACTTGCTTCTTGTAGCTGGACAGGAAAGGTTCAGAACCTTAACAAGCTCTTACTATAGGGGTGCCCAAGGGATCATTCTTGGTAAGTTCATCTTTCCCGTGTATGTATGTACGCGTTACTATACTATCTTTGTTGTGTTCGACGGAACCTTTCATCGGTTTCAACTAACAATTTCAGCACTCTGGTATCACTGGAAAAAAGTCGTGGCTTGAAGGACCTCTAATGTTCTGCAATTTCCTGAATTTTTCGTTTAATGGAACAAGAATTTGCTACTTTTGAAGCTGGCTCATTATTTTGTGATTCTTGTCGATTCCTTTCAAGGGATTGTACTTAATATTATATAGTCTGTGCATGATTCAAATTGTCATTCGTTTGACTTATTTCTTGGCTTTTGTTATAGTCTACGATGTAACACGGAGAGAAACGTTCACAAATTTGTCGGATGTTTGGGCCAAAGAAGTGGGGCTTTACTCTACCAATCAGGACTGTGTCAAAATGCTTGTTGGAAACAAAGTTGATAGAGTAAGTCTGGTGTTTTTCGGAAGATAAATCGACCTGTTAACACCTTTCCTTTGAAAAGATTAAGGAGAGACTAAATAAGTTGATAATAGACAACAAATAAGCTCCTTGGATCTCTTCATGTTCTAGGAAACTACATGGAACAAAGTTGTGAGTATAAAGTTTAGCAGTCATAAAGGGGTCACTGCACCGATTAATGATATAAGCCGATTCACATTTCATGTTATCTTAATTCATTGCATAGCTAATAAGAAAATAACCTACTTAATTGCTAGTACTCTCCCCCTACCCATAGAGTGCCGATATTACATTTCGTGTTATCTTAATTTTTCTGCTTCATTACATCCAGTTTGCTTTACCTTTCAGGATTCTGAAAGGGCTGTAAGTAGAGAAGAAGGCGTTGCGTTTGCAGAAGAGCTCAGATCTATGTTCCTTGAATGCAGCGCTAGAACAAGAGAAAACGTGGAGCAATGCTTTGAGGAGCTTGCATTGAAGGTAACCTTTTTGTTTTATAACACCATTTTTGTTCATCTACTCTCCAGTAATGTGAATTAGTTCAAAAGCTTTAATCACACTATAGGATAAAGCCAGTACCGTGAACAAAGAAGCTGCGACTTAGGGTGACACATATAGTACCGTCTTGGTTCTGACCAGATGCGGATTTCTCTTACAGATAATGACAGTTCCAAGTCTTTTGGAAGAAGGGTCTTCTGTAGGAAAGAGAAGCATGTTAAAGCAGAAGCCAGAGTACCAGACTTCTCCGGGCGGTGGTTGTTGCTCCTAAGTTGCAGCAATATTCGACTCGTTTTGACATGATGGGATGGCTTATGTTATCAATAGAAAGCTTAGGCATCCATGTTTGTTGGCGGCTTTAAGCTTCCGGATAGACGGATTGTGGACAACTCGTGTATATGCTTTCTTTGGATTGTCTATGCTTCTGTTCTTTGCAAGGGAGTGTCCATAGTTTTATTGTGTATCCTCTCCACTCAAATTAACTTTTGCAAATTCGTTTGCCTTTTCGGTTTTGTGTTGATTAAGGTTTTAGTTTGTTATTCATGAAATTGTCTTTGGATTTTGTCTTCTATTGATTAATTGAGTATATATTGTTGAGACTATTACTTACAACAGCATATAGTCATTTAGTTAATAGGGCAATATATCCAAGACTACTAAATCCTCTCCCCACGCTAGTTGGAACAACCGCAAGCAAAGTTACAAAACAACTCTGATACGAGCCTTCAAAACCATTATGAAGTAATAAGGTAAAATATTGTCAATGAAACTTTTTTTTTTATTTAGAAAAACAACACCTGACAAAGATTATTTAGAAAAATAATACCTTTTCTCACACACGAGATAAAGACGTGTTATGTCAGTCGAACTATTTTGAAGGCATGTCACGTTAATTACATTTTTCAAAGGGTGCACCTCTACTTAGTTCAATCACGATCCAAATTTTGAGTTATTATTTTTGTTAGAAATAAATTAGTTGTTAGTTAAGTTTGTTAGTTCGTTTCTATTTCAGTTAGTAGTGTGAGCATATAAACTCATTGATTGTAATGTGTTGCGGATCAATTCTTCTTCAATCTTTCTCAATAATATTTTGAATGTATTTCCATTCTCTATATCCTTTATAGGTATAATCTACTCAATCACAACCTCCATCATGGCACCATTCTCACATGGTATCATAACTAATGGTCCTGCGATCGTTTTTCTTTTTCTTTCTTTTCTGCTCCGCTGTGCTTTATTCGTATCGTGCTCTTCGATTTGCAAGTTTTATCATAGATCTAAAAGCATTCGTTAAATTTGCTTTACCGATGCCTACTATCAGTTTCATTATCGTTGACGCTTTCGTTGATCATTGTTGTTCGGGTTTCTGCTGCTTTTGCCATAATTTTCCGCTGGTTGCTCTATTCGTTGATTGTTATCGTTGCCACAAGAATCATGAAGTTGTTTTTTCTTTTACTTCGATCCGATTCAACACTATTTGCTCTTTTTCTTTCACCATCGAGAGTTTCATCGTATACCAGGTTCTTCTCTTTTTCAGATTTCTTTGTTAGTCTGTTGAGTTCTTCGTGTTTAATTCTCTGTTTTAGAGCTACAAGTCATTGCATTTGGATACTCCACTGTTTGGTTCTTCGAGCGACACGAAATTTAGTGTTTGGTAAATCGATTGTTAGTGTAGAAGAAAGGATTGGTTGTTATTGTTGTTTTGAGGTTTAATTTCTACCTGTTCTCTTACGAATTATTTACAGAGTTGGTTGATCTTCATGTTACTGGTAAACATCATGAAATTGTGGTTTGCTCGCATTTTGATGACTTGTTACTAGAAGCTAGTGACGAGTGGGTTACAAGTTAATGTTAAATGATGAACACTGATACTACAACATGGATTGCTTAGTTATTTATGGGTTGATTTCTTCATGGTCTGTTATTTCTTCTCCAAAGTTTGATATGGAATTTGAAAGCTTAACAGCTGACTTACCATGGTATAAATTTTTTGGGGAGAGTCAAGTGTTTAACAATTTTGTTCTCCTTAACCAGACAAAATAATGTGTCTTCTTGCCCAAAAGAGGCTTTAGATTAGACTCGAGAGTTCGTAGCTTAACCGCCTTGCTTCCAATAAAAAGAATGTTCGAATAAGTGAAGAAGAATGACAATGAAGACGAAAAAAAAGAAAGAGAAAAAGCTCTTGAAGAAAAAAGAAAAGCTAAAGAAAACTTATTTCAACAGGAAAATTAAAACTTATTTCAACAGGAAAATTGTTCAATGTACATAAATTCCATCTCACAGTTCTAGCCCACTAAGCTTGCAACACTGTTCGTCAAACTGTCAAATCACAAGGTAAATTTCACGAAGGGTGAAGAAACAAGGTGAATGAAAAAAAAAGATACTATTTTTTTTAGATGTCATGCTAATTTTTTCCTTCTTCCAATAAGATAAAAACTTGAAGAAGTAGGGAAAATATTAGAAATAAATTAGTTGTTATTTAGCTAAGTTTGTTAATTCGTTTCTATTTCAATTAGTAATGTGAATATATAAATTCGATGACTGTAATGTGTTGTGGATCAATTCTTCTTCAAACCTTTCTCAATAGTATTTTGAGTGTATTTTCATTCTCAATATTCTTTATAGATATAATCTACTCAATCATACCTCGATCATGACACCATTTTCACATGGTATCAGAGCTGGTGGTATTGTGGCTATTTTTCTTTTTATTTTTCTTTCTCTTCTGCTTCGTTGTGCTCTGTTCGTATTGTGTTGTTCGATTTGCAAGTTTTGTTACATATTTGAAAGCATTCGTTGAATTTACTTTACCAATGCCTGCCATTAGTTTCATTATCGTTGTTCCGACGCTTTCGTTAATCATTGTTTTGCTTCGTTCTAGTTTCTACTGCTTTTGCCATGATTTTTCGTTGGTTGCTAAGTATTGATTGTTCTCGTTGCCACAAGAATCCTGAAGTTGTTTTTTTCTTTTGCTCCGGTCCGATTCAATATTATTTTCTCTTATTCTTTCACTATCGAGAGTTCCGTTGGACAACAGGTTGTTCTTTTTTTCCATATTTCTTCGCTAGTTTGTTGAGTTCTTGGTGTTTAGTTCTCTGTTTTTGGAGTTACAAGTCATTGCATTTGGATACTCTATTGTTTGGTTCTTCACGTGACACGAAAATTATAGTTTTTTTATTGTGTGTGCCTTCAATATGTTTGACTAAATGTCTCAATGATGTTGCTGGTGATTGTTTGTGTCTGCCATTGTTTGTTTGTTCAAGAGATCAAATAATGGGGGCGTTATTAATTCTCAACCGGGAAGCAATTGAAGTTACATTACTATTAGTAATTTTAGCATTTTGTAGTGGGTTTACCTCACAAGTTACAACATTAGTGCACATTGGATCAATAAACTCTCATGCTGGCATTCATATTGTTTGAAGGGACTTCAGTTGGTCCTTTAGTTAACTTGGCCATTCAGATTGACCCAAGGAGCTGCTATGTTAGGAAAGCGCAGAAAATACATTTACCTTGGTGGCTTGCTTTCATCCGATGTGTCCATTCTTTACTGGTTTATTTTTATTCACCATCTTTGATATTGAGGTTAGTGTTTGGTAAATCATTTGTTAGTGTAGATTGGTTGTTATTGTTGATTTGAGGTTTAGCTGTTACCTGCGCTATTGCTAATTATTGACAGAGTTGGTTGATTTTCATGTTAGTGGTAAATACTATGAAATTGTGGTTTGCTCGCATTTTGGTGTTTTGCTACCGGAATCTAGTGATGAGTGGGTTACAAATTGATGTTAAATGATGAACACTGATACTACAACATGCATTGCTTAGTTATTGATGGGTTGATTTCTTCATGGTCTGTTATTTCTTCTCCAAAGTTTGATATGAAACTTGAAAGCTTAACAGTTGTGTTACCATGGTAGAAAATTTATGGGGAGAGTCAAGTGTTTAACAACATTGTTGTCCTTAACCAGACAAAATAGGGTGTCTTCTTGCCCAAGAGAGGCTTCAGATTACACTCAGAAGTTCATAGCTTAACCGCCTTGCTTCCAACAAAAAGATTGTCCGAATAAGTGCAGAAGAATGACAAGGAATATGAAGAAAAAGAGAAAAAGCTCTTGAAGAAAAGAGAAAAGATAAAGAAAACTCCTTTCAATAGGAAAATTGTTCAATGTATATGAATTCCAGCTCACAGTTCTATTCCACTAAGCTTGCAACACTGTTCATCCAACTCTCAAATCACAAAGGTGGATTTCATGAAAGGTGAAGAAGCAAGGTGAATGAAGAAAAAAAAGAAGTCATTATTTTCTTTTGGAGGTCATGCTAATTGTTTTTGTTCTTTCTTCCAAGAAGATAACAAACTTGAAGAAGTCATTATTTCCCTTAATCTGATAAAATAAGACGTCTTCTTATTCAAATTTATTGTACTCGGGAGCTTGAAGTTTTATAGCATTGTTTCCAATAAAAAGAAAGTTCCAATAAATAAAGAGGAAGAACAATAAAAAAGAAGGAAAAAAATGTTGAAGAAAAGATACACTGAAGAACCTAATCTAATCATTTTAGCCACTATTCGAATCCTTCTCTTACACATTCATCACTTCATCGTCGTTCAACACTACTCTGACATCACCAAGACACTGATGATCTATATGCTCATCTTATTAATTGAATCGCCACTAATGAGCACCGACAAGGACATGTCGAAGAGGGCGATTATGACACATGTCCTCTTGAAAATTTTATAAGTCTACTCTCCTTTAAAAATTTTAAAAATCCATTATTTAATATAAAATCTTGTGTTCGTATCTTAAGACGAATGAAGGTAGAATATGTGCCTCACTTATATCATATCTCAGTACCTTCTAGCTAGCATGCACTTGAATAAAAGCTTTGCAACCACAAACAAATATAGTAACTTACAATCTCTTGAGTTCCATGAATACTTGGATAGATTAGGATTGGGATTGATATCATTTTGTTTTAATAGAGACCACCATCATACATGTGCTTATGCCATTTTTCAAAGGAAATGGATTCCTTATTTCTCTTATGGATATAGCAAAGTGGGTCACATGGGGTGGCTTTTCATTACCCTCCAAATGTGCCCATTGCTCCCATTTAACAAATTAACTAAGATGGTAATTTATTTTACCCCAAAAATGATTCTGAAACATCATATTCAAATCAAGAACATATTTGAAATACAAGAAGTTGATTCATTAGAACATTATCTTGTCTTACCTCTATATATTGAGAAGAACAAAGCACGTACATTTGGTTACCTACGGGACAAAGTGCGGTTGAGAGTAACAGGATGGATGAAACGTATGTTATCTTTTGGTGGACGGGAGGTGTTCCTTATGGCAGTGGCCCAAACACTACCTCGATATGCCATGTCCTGCTATTTGTTGCTGGAGCATCTTTTGAACGAAATAACTAGTATTATGCGTAGGTTCTGGTGTACAAGAAAATTCCTGAATGTGCTTAGCTTTTAGTAGCCTAGGATACTATTTGTAGGCCAAAGAGGGTTGGAGGACTTGAGTTTCGTGACATTCGTTCCTTTAATCTGACTATGCTTGGTAAGGCAGGTATGGAGGCTTATCAAAGAACCAGAATCT